TCCATCCCTGGGAGTGTTCCAGGCCAGGTTGGATGGGGCTTGGAGCAACCTGGGCTGGTGGGAGGTGTCCCTGCCCATAGCAGGGGTTGGAACTAGATGGTCTTTGAGGTCCTTCCAACCCAAACCAGTCTGTGATTCTCTGATTTTTTTGAGCAGCACGTGTACAAAGCTGCACTCAGAGTCACTCAGCAGATAACATCAACAGAAGCTGCTGCAGATTAAAATTCATTGAGGCTCTATTAGAAGCCAGATGTTACTTTGGGAAAAAAAAAGTCGCCTTATCTCTTTGCATCAGGTTTTTTACATCAAAATTATTAACGTTCCTCGTGTTGTTTGAAGTCTGTGGTGCTGTTGCTGTGGCTTTGCTGCCACCATCCCACCTGCAGCTGGTGAGTCTGCACCTCCAGCAGCTCATCCCTCCCCAGCAGGGAGTGGGGGAGGTTTGGGCAGGCAGATCCAGGCAGTGTGGATGAGTGTTTCTGCTTGGAAGCTCAACTGTGTGTAAATACTTCTCTTAAAGGAATTTAGATAACTGAAATGAGGTTTGAAGTGATCAGAAATCACTTCCAGGATCTGGGAAAGAGGAATAGAAATAGCATCAGTGCTGATCTTTGCAGATATTAAATGTGGGGGAAGGAGGATGGAGTTTTTTTGTAAGACACTGATAGATGAGGCAGTCTTGGAGGGTTTGGGTAGGTCTTGGTTTCCAGAGCACTGAGGTGAGCTCATGAGCTCACTGAGCTTATGGTGAGCACTGATGAAGGTCTAAATTTTCACTGAATAGGACAAAGTATAGCCCTGTGTGGCTGTGCAGCCTCACACAGAGCTTTTCAGCCCCTTGAAAACAGGCAGGAAAGGTTAATGTGAGCAGTGTGACAGATGTTTGAACTGGAGACATGCAAAAGGAGGTCAGGGTGTTACAAGTGACACACAGTCAGGTTCAGAACCAGCAGACACTGCTGTAAAACCTAATTCCTTTTTACAAGCAGAATCACTGCTACTTGGAAGCTGAGGGATTAGCAGGGAAGCACCTGGAAAAGGGGCCAGGTGAGTGGCAGGCTTGGTTTTCCTTTGCCTGGTCTGCTCAGGTGTAGCATCACCATTTTCAGGTGTCACCAGATCCGTTTCCAAAGGGCTTGGCCTCAGTGTTGGTGGGTTGGTGTTGGCCTGGGTCTGAGAGCACACACAGTTGGCTGTGTGGTGTTCTGGCTGAGGGGCTGCAGGTGTCCCTGGGGGTGCTGACCTCTCTGCTCCCCCAGGTGTTGAACGAGGCTGTGGGGGCCATGATGTACCACACCATCACACTGACTCGAGAGGACCTGGAGAAGTTCAAGGCCTTACGGGTCATTGTTCGGATAGGCAGTGGCTACGACAACATCGACATCAAAGCTGCAGGGGAGCTTGGTAAGTCTCAGCTCTGCACCTTCTTCCCTTCCTCTGTCCCTCTGAGTCTCTGAACCAGCACAAGTACCTGCTGTGCTCCAGTGGAGTGTGCACAGCAGAGCTCCAGGCAGGGCCTCCCAGAGGGAGTTGATTCAGCCCCTGAAATTACAGATGCAGTTTATGGTTTTTTCCATGTATATTACAACAAGAAAACTTGGCCATGAAGTACACAAAGCAGTGCAGTATTTGAAGGCAGATTCTAGGCTCATACCGGGTTATAACTGCCCCATCCTGGTCCCTCATTCCTGCACTGTCCCTCGTCCCAATCCCCCTTACACCAATGGATATTTGTGTGGCTGTTCTGTTTCTGGCACAGGAGAGTGGGTACAGCTTCAGAAAAATTGGAGGAAGGGTGTTTTAGTATATTTTGTTAAGCAAGATCAGCCTCTTGATGTGGTCTGGTTCTCTGAGTCATGCTCGCTCCGCTGGGAAGGCGCCGGGGCAGGAATTGTGCGTTGGGTTGTTGCTGCCTCCTTTGCCATCACATCCAAGGTGCCTCAGGAGTTGAAGAAGGCATTGCAAGTCCATGTCACAGGGACTGCCAAAATATGGGTGGTCACATTGTCAGACAGTGCTGTGGCCACCCAGTTTCCACACTGGTTTGCGTGGTCACACAGACTTCTGGCTGCACATCCCCAGCCAGGAGAGCTGAATTGTATCCCTGATTTCAAGAGCTGAGTTACAGCTGGTTTTGGTCACCTGATCCCAAGGTTCAGTGTCTCGAGCAGCCCTGCAGTGGTGTTTGGATATCTTGTATTAAAGGTTATCTCTGGGGAAGTGTAGAGTAAGAGCCATTTCACCTGAGCCGTTTTGCAGAGATAATTGTTATAAGAGAGTCTCAAATCGTCATTCCTAAAAAAAGCAATTCCCAATGTAGTGAATTGTTTTCTTTTATTCCAGGGGAGAACAGTGTCTTCCCAGTGTAATGGTTCCTTCATGTTTTTAACTCTTACTGTTATTATCCATTATAACAATGTTCTGAGGCTTTGAACATCAGGGAAGGAAGGATATAACAAATAAATGGGATGCTGCAGCATAATCCTTCTTTTTATACTTGGCAAATTGGGTGGCCAAATGATGTGGTTTCCAGGAGAAAACATAATGCAGCACAAATGTAGCATAAAGTTTAATTGGTATTGCTTTTCCTGAGGTAGTTGTTACACCATGCAGTCAATAAATGACCAGTGTCTAAACACAGTGCCTGGCACAGGCTGTGCTGCCTGGGCCAGGGGACCAGTTTGGGCCCCCTGAAAGACATCCCCAGAATGAGATGCTGGGGGTGGACCATCCTCCATGGGTGTTTAAGGGGCACAGGAGTAAATACCAGTGCAAGGAGCTCATGGGAAAGGCGGCTCAGTGTCATCCAGCTCTGTAATCAAGTGGTGCCTCAGAAAGGGGACAAAGGCAGGACACAGCCAGAAATCCACCCAGCCCACAAACCAGCTGTGATCCTGGGCTGATCCCACAGTGTGGGCAGCAGGTGAGGGGAGGATTCTGTCCCTCTGCTGAGGTGAGATCCCACCTGCAGTGCTGCCACCAGCTGTGGGATCTCAAGCACAGAAAGGACATGGAGCTGTTGGAGAGAGTCCAGAGGAGGCAGCAAGGGGATTAGAGGAAAGGCTGAGGGAATTGGGGTTGTTCAGCCTGGAGAAGAGAAGCTTTGGGGTGACCTAATTGCCCTTTCCAGTACCTGAAGGAGCTACAGGAAAGATGGAGAGAGACTTTGGACAAGGGCCTGGAGTAACAGGACACAGGGAATGGCTTCACACTGCCAGAGGGCAGGGCTAGATGGGATATTGGGAAGGAATTGTTCCCTGTGAGGTGCTGAGGCACTGGCACAGGTTGCCCAGAGCAGCTGTGGCTGTTCCATCCCAGGGAGTGTTCCAGGACAGGTTGAATGAGGCTTGGAGCAACTTGGGCTGGTGGGAGGTGCCCATGGCAGCAGGGTAGAACTAGATGGTCCTTAAGGTCCTTCCAGCCCAAACCATTCTGTGATTCTAAGTGCTGGCAGGGCTGGTGATGGGACCCTTGGCTGATGGGGAGTGCTGCTGTAGCTGCTTGTCACCCTCCAGCTGCTTTCTACTCTCTTCCCTCGTAGACAACCATGGCTTCTGCCTACAAATGGGCAGGAGCAGTTAAGGTGATGCTCACACGGAAACCCTCACTCCCTCTCCATTAGGGACTCAGGCAGGCACTGTGGTTTCTGGGCTGCACCCAAATCAAAAGTTCCCCTCTTGGAAGAGATGGGAATGTAAAATGAGACAGTGTCAGCTTCAGGAGTTCGTGGGGTCCATCACCTGGAGGGGAGGGGGGCAGACTGATCTCAGGGGATGGTTGGTGGGTTTGTTCAGCCTGTAGGGTCAGTTTTTCTCCCAGTTCCCATAGGTCTTTCAAACAGCAACAGGGTGGAAAACAGGTTTAAGACCAGAAAAGCAGCTGCTGGGAGCAGGGAGATTGGGTTGAGAAGCAGATTTTGGCTTTTGAATCAGTGCCCCTCACAGTGGAAGGGGATTTTCTGGATATCTTATGCTGCCTTTATTTCCTGCTTTTTCATGGTTTCTCCTCAAAGGCCTCAGTAAGGCACTTACATACACATCCGTCCTGTAATGTGTGCTTAAATCACATGGAATCTGGTGGGATATAAGCACGTGCTTAGCTGCTCTGCTGAATAGACATGAAATTAAGTACAGCCTTACACCCCTTACCGAGCCAGGGCAATGAGCAGGGAGGGATTTTCAGGGAACTTCATCCTTGTAGCTCCAAGTGGGACACAGTGGTTTAAAATAAACCTTCTGTGGGAAAGGAACAAGAGGTCTGTCCATGGCACCAGGGCAACGAGGCTGGTGAAGGGACTGGAGCACAAGTGCCATGAGCAGAGGCTGAGGGAGCTGGGGGTGTTCAGCCTGGAGAAGAGGAGGCTCAGGGGAGACCTTAGCACCCTCTGCAACTCCCTGACAGGAGGTTGGAGTCAGGTGGGGGTTGGTCTCTTCTCCCAGGCAACCAGCAGCAGGACAAGAGGGCACAGACTCAAGCTCTGCCAGGGGAGGGTTAGGTTGGATATCAGGAAGAAATTTTTTTACAGAGAGAGTGCTCAGGCATTGGAATGTGCTGCCCAGGGAGGTGGTGGATTCCCCATCCCTGGGGGTTCTCAAGGTGAGACTGGATGTGGCACTTAGTTGGACTCAATGATCCTTGAGGTCTCTTCCAACCAGGTTGGTTCCATGATTCAATGTGGGGGTGAAACCAGGAGCCTCTCTGCCTTGCCCTGGGGTGAGCAGCCAGGGTTAGCCCCTCAGGTGTGATTTGTGTGCTGCCTCCACAGGCATCGCCGTCTGCAACATCCCTTCGGCTGCGGTGGAGGAGACAGCAGACTCCACCGTCTGCCACGTGCTCAACCTGTACCGGCGCAACACGTGGCTGTACCAGGCGCTGCGGGAGGGCACGAGGGTGCAGAGCGTGGAGCAGATCCGGGAGGTGGCGTCGG